ATTTATAAAAATAAATTTTTAATTTTTAATATTTTAATATATAATGAAATAAATTAAAATAATAAATAATTAAAAATTAAAAATTTTCCAACAAAAAAATTGCCTCGACAATCTCTCCATTCTTAATTTGATTCTTAATTTTTTAATTTTTTTAATAAGTTCATAAAAAAAAATCAACGATAATTTATAAAAATTAAAGAATTAATTTATAAAAATATTCGTGGAGGATATTAATATATTTTGCATTAGGAAACTTTGAATTAGGTTTGGAATTTGAAAGGGGAAAAATATTATGGAATGTCACATTGTTAAAGTTTTTCTAAAGAGAAATTAGGAGTAGACGTACCTTATCGGCCTGACGCAGGCAGTCGATGCGGCGCATTTTACCCTTCTGATCAGGATTACTAAGGACGCACATGGCCGGCCTCTTCCCCGTTATGCTCAGCACGAAGTCCTCTCTGTACTCCTGCGTGATATCCTTTCGCAACTTGCCCAAAAGCCGCGAGGCCCATTTCTGTTTCACCTCCAGCTTCTCGTTCTGTAACAAATAATTCAGAAATAACTAATTCCTCTTCCCCATAATTCCAATTAAATTTTTCGACTCGAACACGATTTTTCCAAAAATTCACAATGCGAAACGAATTCATATCCTATCATATCCTATTATTTCTGTTTCCAGCTTCTCGTTCTGTAAAAAATAATTTAAAAATAACTAATTCCTCTTTCCCATAATTCCAATTAAATTTTTCGACTGGAACACGATTTTTCCAAAAATTCATGAATAATTTAGGTCTCCATTACCCATCTCTTCCACAAAGGAGAGATAATAATATTTTGATAATTCTCTCTCTTGGACGACAATTAATAAGCTCGGTGAAAAATAATTAATAATTTTTATTAATTATATATCAAGAGTTAGTTCCTCGTAAGAGGTGTGAAAAAAGGAAGAGGTTGAACAACCATTTCTTGGTCACAAAAATCATATCTACGGGGAATGCGTACATCGATGGGCCGCGGATGGCGGCAGCTGTTGATCCGTTGAAAGTTCGGCCAGTTTACAAACTCCGCCCGATGGCTCGGGACCAAAGCAACGGTGACCTCAAACTATTCGTCGGAACGATATGCGGGATCACGTTCCCGTGTGTCCCCTTCCACATACACACCTCCCCCTCTACCGATATCTTGACCTTCCTCCAGACCAACCGTCCGCGACCCTGTGTATACGGCGTCCTTGTCTTTCGTGGTTAATTTAACTTCAAATTAAATCGCTCCCCAAAACGAGCGAATTTATTATCGACGAATTTTTCTTAAAAAATTTGTTAAAAAATTATCTCTAGAAAATCTTCCATCTCTAATCGAATATCTCGAATATCTAGTTAAAAAATAAAAAACCAAGAAATCCCCTGTAAAAAAAGATCACTATGTTACTATAAATCCCCTATAAAATCCCCTATAAAAAGTTACTAGTAATATGACGGAGCATGGAAATATCAAAAGATTCTTATTTCGCTCGAAACGTAGTGGAATTCCTCCGCGGAACGCTCTCTCTCTCTCTCTCCCCCTCTCCTCCTCCTGTTACATCGAATAAATAAATTCCGTGCGGCGCGTACGCCTAGGGCAGGCTCGTTTTTCAGTCACCGTGGAAATCTTGGAGGCAAGTTGGCCGCCACGGGAGGCGGGCGAACGCTTGACGACCTGCCTCGGCCCCTCGCGGCTTCTCTTATTCACCTCACGGACGCGGCCCAGCGGTGGAATAGCAAATGCGCGCGGGTGCATAAGGTCCCTGAGAAATGCGTGGAAAGCGCGCGGAATGCATCGACGCGCGGCGGCAGCGGCGACGACCGTCCATCTATCCCGCCTAGCCCCTTTCTGCCACGCACGTGCGCCCACCGATACTTTTTAAGAGGGACGAGAAAAACCGCTGCCGCGTTGCTGCGCGTCTAAACTCGCGGCCGCGTGGAAACACGCGCAACCCCGTGTCAGCCATCGCCCATTGTCACGTTTTTTTCCTCGAACGGCCTCTCGATACATTTCGATCGAGGAATTTTCTTTCCCGATTCGGATGCACGATTTTCTTGCTCGACGGATTCAAAGCTCGATCGATTTGAGATTGTTTGATCTCGTTTGACGTTGTTTGAAGTCGTCTAGGATAAGGGCAAATGGCCAGTATGAAGGTTGGATGGAAGAGGATCGCTTGGAAGGCAATATTTGAGATGGTTTGAGATGGTTTGAGATGGTTTGAGGTCGCCGATGATCAAGATTAACGATGAATATGGAACGGAAGAATGAATTGGATGGAAGAGGAGGAGTGAAGAGTGCGTTGGAGAGTTGAAAATTGACTTTAATAAAGAAAAATTCTTCGATCTCGTATCTCTTCTTTTTACGATTAACGATCCCTCGCAAAGCATCAAAACGCAAAAAAAAAGGAAAAGCATTGAGCACCACTGCTCAGTACATAGAGCAACAATTTCCATTTTCGACTCGTCACGCATTCGATTCGAAAAGTCGGGAAGACAGATTCATGGAAATATTCACCTCGACTCCTCCCCCTCCCCCTCGACGGAGGAGAACGAGAATCGCGCGTCGAAGCACCGTTACCCGATCATTCAAACACGAATCTAGATGTTAGAAACGCGTCGACGCCATTTCCCAGGTTAAACTCCGTTGTCCTTAATACTACACAGACAGAGAGCGTTTTTCGCGCGAGAGAAAATTTCAAATCACGTTCCCCTGGTTGTCTCGCGTACAGAAATGTGTGGCGAGCGAGCGAGTGAGCGAGCGAGCGAGCGAAAGAGAGCGAGAGAGAGAGAGAGAGAGAGAGAGAGCCGGGTCTCTCAACTGTGGGAGAGTACTGGGCTGCGGTTACGGTGCATCCTGCATAAACCCGATCAAGTATGCCGAGTGTGAAGGAGGGCCGCACAGGCCACGTATATCGTGACATGCGTATGTACACCTAGGCGCGGCAGTTTACCTCGTTCACGCCGCGCCGATTTCTCGCGATGCTATTCCACTCCACTCGACCGTGCGCGGGGCATAGTGTATTTCTGGAAAATTTTCTGCCTCCGATTATACATATATCGACTATATAACTTCGTCTCGAAAAACGGGGAGTTCAGAGAAAAATTGAAAAGTAAGGTTAAGTTGAAAGGAATAAAACAAGATGAAGGTAAAGTATATATAAATAATTGAAGCGAGGATAATTTTTCACGAGGATAATCGTCGTATAAAGAAAAAAAAGCAAAGTTAAAAAAATTTTTTCTTTCTGAAGAAAAAACAAAAAAAAAATTGATCGTAAGAAGATCGAAACATCGAAACATCGAAAGATCGAAAAATCGAAACATCGAAAGATCGAAACATCGAAACATCGAAAGATTGAAACATCGAAAGATCGAAAGATCGAAACATTGAAAAATCGAAAGATCGAAAAATCGAA